AGAAACGATAGCTCTGTCCTTTAATCTCATTGCTTAACATCAGCCTCTAAACTTCATGCAACACTAAAGATAAACACCACTGAATAATATTTTCAAAGTAATACACAAACTAGAGCAAGGAGAAAGGATGAAGTGGGCTGAAATTAAAACTGGGAAAAAATATTCTCTACTGGTATTTGCAGTCTAAGCTTCCAGCAGAGAGGGAGAAACTAAACCCTTAAGGGAGAAGAAGCTTGAATCCTGAGAAATGTTAGGAGGTAAGGCGTTCATACAGCCCTGTGAGCATCACAAAGAACCGGTGTGGCCTACCTCGCCAGGCTTCCCAGGCAGCTGAAATCTACAGCAATGGTCTTTAGGCCTTTGCCTCTATGGCCCAAGGCTTCAAACTGAGGAAAGAAGACTTGTTGCTCGTTCAGACTGGGCCCTGCCGAGTTTCTGGTCCTTCCCACATAGACCCATAGACCCATTTTCCCAAAACTCTCCAGTATCTTTTTGTTGACCCTTAGCAGTACCATGTTATCCACTCTGCCTATACTTTCCACTCTCCCCCAACTTCAGGTGCTACCCTAAAATAAAACTCCATGTCTTAGTTTTCACAATTGCAAAATGATAATAACTATAACTATATAATAATAACTATAACTATAGAGTTAAATAAACTAATACCTGCAAAATATTTAGAACAGTGTTTGGTGCCTAAAAGAATTAGTTATTAGGTATAAGAATTAGTTAAATAAAATGAAGAGAAAATAAATTAATATATCCACATCCAAATAACAGAATGCAACTTCTGATGGCAAAACATATTTCAAACAGAAAAGAAGAGCCAATATACTAATTTCATAAACGTGTATCATCAGTCCAGTCAAATTACCAAGAGAGATTACCCAAGGAACCAGTCTTTAGCTTAACGTTCTTTATTTAACCTACTCTAGCTGGTCCTGAGATACTTAATTATCGAGGAAGAAATAAATCTATCTGCTGAAACCACAGTTTACAAAATGGAAGTCTGATAGTTCACCCTTAGTATGGGATATCCTGTATCTGACTATTCAGCATTGAAGTCATTTGCACTATTTACGTATTATTTGAAGCTTCATTGTCTAACCTTAAAAAGGATAGAGTTTGAACTTAAATGTTTGGATTAAGGGAAAAGGACTCATTTTCCTTCGGAGGTGGGACCATAATGGCATGAAAAAGATTGCTGTAATTTATAAAATTGTGAACAGAAAAAGGCAGAAGAAAAGGTAGGACAATATGGAAGGAGAGATGATGATGAGAAAGTCAGTGTCATGAAATGAGAATCTGTTATGCTTGTAATGTGTGAATGAAAAAATGATATAGTGACATCAAAACTTATAAACAGGGAACAAGATACATCTCAAATATAGAGCTACATATTGAAAAGTGTAAAAGTACTGCATGAAAATAAATTCTATTTTAAACTTTATCTTTCCTATTTTAAAATTTCCCTTAAGACAAAAATATTTTAAAAACCCATGTCTGGAGTCTCAAAGAGAAACTACCCAGAATTAGTCATTACAAGCTTTTAATATTCTATCAATATTCAGCAAAAAGTATAGCTACCTTTCTATAATTAGAAATATTAATTTAGAAATCTGTAAGACAGCTAACCATATTAAAAAGCTATTTCCATAGACTGATTTTATAAATTTCATACTCAGAAATTTTTTTGACATTTCAGCAAATGTCCTCTAGGTGATAGTAATAAAATGTTAAACTATGAAAAATAAATATATTTGAGTTTTTAAAAACAAATACCTTATTTATAATAAAATTCCACTCACAGCATTTCAAGGAATATAATTACTTTGTGATGAAAACAGATCCTTTGAATCTTTGTTTAATAAAAAGAATAGCACTGATAGTTTTAATCTATACAAAAATAATCAAAAGATTTGTGAAAGTTTATGTTAAAAATATGTAGTATCAAAATGTTAAGCTTCTTTAAATTTTAGCATTATACCTTGAAAAGTTCTGACTGCTGCCAGAAGCAAAGTACACTTTAACTAAGCAAAAAATTTCCATTGCTCTTATATGAAGAAGCCACACCCCATACAACTAATGACAGGAAAACATTTCAATTCAAACTTCTTGCACTATCCAGCCTGAAGCAAATTTTTTTTAAAAGACAGAAAAATAAAACACAACTCACATTTGCAGAGACGAAAGGAAACTCTGGCTAAATAAGTAGCAATTATGCTGAAGAATTTATATGCTAGGCACGACTGAATGTAAAAACATCCGAGCAGTCAACCATAGCGTTAGCACTTTGAGTATGATTAACAGAATGAACTTGCAAAGGTCAATTAAATGTCAACACACTTTAAAGACATATTCTTCTTAAGAACGGTCAGTGTATAATAGCACATAATAACTTAGGGGTACCCATCTTAATTCAAGGGTAATATGCACATGATATATGCACATACAACATGTCATGTCAAGAGTCAGATTACTATAGAAAGCCCTCTAGCATCTACCCTGGAGTTGTGATCATTTAAATGTTTTTAAGTTATAAAATAATTATAAAGAAAATATACTTATTATATAGCAATATCCACTGAAGTTGAAATGCAAACTACATCATAAATGCTAAGACTAAGGTTTATCCAATTAGCTGACCTTATTTATCCTATCATAAAAAGTCATTTACAAAGAAAACCCTTTATTGTCCCTAATACATCATCCAACTACTTAATACATCCCCCACTAACCTGCCTTGAATGATTGTGTTTTTAAAAATTACCAAAAAAGGTATAAGGCATTCAAAAATTGGCAAGTTTAACATTAGCAATCTGTGGGATAGACCAAGTCTTGAAAGCACTGAGTGCCCATTCCTGGCATTTTTCACTCAAGAATGCAGTAAAAACCTTCATCCCATCCCACCTAAGGAAGGCCAAGTTGTCCTAGAACCTCAGAATGAGAAGGGACCATCCATATCACCTGGCTCAAACCTCTCCACATTCACAGCTTGAGAAATGTAGAACTAAGGTAGAGCAACCTGGCTTAGCTCCCACAGCTACTTAACAGATGTCAACTCTTTAAAACTTAATTAGCTTAGTGCTCTTTCTCTATATCAAATCTATCATATACTTTCCCTTTATTAGGACTTTAAGACCAGATTAGAATGAACAAAATAGCTGTGGCTACCATTGGAAGTCAGAGGAAGATTAGAAGTTTTAAGGCATAAATGACCTAGGAAGGCTTCGAGGAGGAGATAAAAATAGAAGAATGGGTAGAATCTGGGTGGCTTGAGAGGAGGTGTTATGAATGAGGGAAGCAGTATGGGCTAAAGCATTGTAGTGAGTGAGATGGCCATGTTCCATGGACTATGGAGAGAAAGCTTTCAGAGGATGTAACAGCCTGGTTTCAAGATCACTATATAAGCCAGGCAGAGGAGGTTCATTAATTGGGGGACAAACATAAACTAAATAAAATTTTTTTATTTTGGAAAACTAATGTGCAGATAGCAAAGATTAGCACAGCAATAAATTTGCAAGACAGAATGGAGGTGTGAAAAGAGAAACATTTGTGGTGCCTCCTAGGGGTCTAGTAATGTTAATCATATTTTACAGGGTTAGTATAAGGAAAATGTGAGCTGATGTGCGAAAAGTATAAGAGCTCTAGAAAGTAAAAGCATTTTAAAAAGTCAGGAGCATGGGTCTCTGATCATGTCCCCACATCTTGATGGCATAAACTTCTCTGAAAAGGCAAATGTGGAGTTGAGAATTCTGGATGCATTCCTAAGGGGTTAGGCATAGAAATCTCTTCCTTTGAATAATTCTAAGACTTAAGATTCCCAAGAGAAAGCTTTCATTCCAAGCCCCTGCGAAGCTGAGGATTACTGATACTAACATACAAAACCAGGATTAATCATTTGAGGCCGACCACATAGTCAGTATCTCTCAGGGTGAGTCAAAAAAGTATATAAAGTGCTGAACAAGGTGGTACAAAAGGGAGGAGGGGGAGAGGAGCCCGGGCGGCACAGGAAGAAGCCCAGGTTATTACCAGGCACTGAAGTCTGCATTCTTCTCTGGTCCCTTTCCCTTTGCTCAACAATTACTATTTAGTGGCATGACCTTCCCATGCGTCCAGAGCTACTTATCTCCTCCTGTGTCATCTTCCTCTCTACAGCGACTTTCCGGGACTAAAAAAGAAAAATTTAAAAGTTACTGTAATAAATTAAAAGCCACAAGTATAAAGTATATAATGAGTGACAGTTATTATCTGTCACTAATTTGTATCTTACATAACTAATAACCTTACATAATTACCAAAACAACTCCTATGAGGCAGGTACTGTTATCCTCATTTTTCAAGTTAGATTGAAAGCTTAGAGGATCAGGGATGCAGCTCAAGGTCACCTGGGTAGTAAATGGCAAAGCTAGGATTTAAATCACATGTGGTGGACCCCTCAGTCTATGCTTTGAATCTCTCTCCTAAACTCTTCCTTTTTATTTCAATAAACATGAAAGTCCTCACTTATATGTCAGGGATTTTATACATAGAGACGGACATTACAGGACCCATTATATGGGTTTGTAGTCGGAAGTTTTAACAATACAGGGCCAGGGGCCAGGGTTTAGGCACATACTGGTTTACCAAATTATCTGATTTAGGACTGAAATATTCAAATGTGAGTGTTGAACTGTGTTGAGGGGATAGCTTCAAATTCAGCCTTCTTACTCGGTCTCTGTCAGGCCTTGGGATCAATACCCAATTATTTGCCTGAAACCTTATAGCCCTAGTAGAAAAGAAGGAGGTGACTGGGATTGCCACTCCCACAAATCACTTACAGGATAGGGGTGGTGGTGAGAGGATCCGATAGTAGGAGGGGCCTCTTGGGTCTTGTACCCCAAAGCAGCCTTAACTTTGTTTGTTGGTGGTGTGTTGGTTTGCTTGCAGAAATAGTTCATGAGACGGTGCCTGGCTACAAGGCCAACGAACAGATAAAACCAACGTGTCTGGTGCTGGTGGGAAAGTGACCAGAGCAGTGGGCTTGTCAGGATGCTTTTTTAATGCTACTAATGAAAGCAACAGCTGTCATTAAACACTGTCAAGAAAACTCTAACATTATTTCTTAAACTTTAGTGTAATTTGGGAAAGTTTTGTTAAGATTACAGGTTTTAGATTCTGCTAACAGCAATTCTAATTCTCTAAGCATAGAAAGATGCCCAAGAGTCTGAAGTTTTCCAAGTACTACAGAAGATTCTGACACAAATGGTCTAAGAACCACACTCACAGGGACATTAAACCCCCACGAGGCTGTCTAACCAGGAACCTGCTCTGAGAGAAACACATTCCACAAAGAAAGTATGTTCAAATTTTAATGCCAGGTTCTGGATTGAGTGGTCACTTTTAAATAAAGCCACTAGGCTTTCCAGAAGTTTCCAGGCTTAGAAACGTCGAGGACTTATTTTCCTGATATCAATAGAGAGGTCCCTTGGGAAAAACAAAATATCTCATGAATGATGCAGTCCATATAGGATCTCTTCACACAGAGTGCTTGTCTAGAGTGAAGACCTTCTTGGAAAGATGTTATTTCCAATGCTTATTTTATATTTGGTATAAGATTGGAGATAATTTTTCTCACTGCAGATTTACTTGATTTCAAAGATACATTTTCCTTCACACAACTGCAATGAAAGGCTTATTTCACGCTATTTTAAAAATGAGTTTAAAAATGAGACAGCACTCAAGTGAAATATTACAGTATGATTAGGCCATTTAATTATATATTCAATCACAATGCAAACACCTACTGATTATTTAAGGAATATACCTTTTCAAAGGTTAGTTCTTCAAAGAAGCTAGGTCATAAAGGGTATTATGTTAAATCAGTATTGCTATCTTTCTCCCAGAAACCCCTATCAACTGTCTTGGTCTCTTTCAAAATCTGAATCCTTATTTTAAGCTATAAACTTTCAGATTAGATACTAGAATTAAGCTCACCTCCCCCCCCCCCAGTGCTTTTATGATACCCTCTTTCTTTCCCCTAAAGTACGATAATAATTCTCTTTAAGGTTGGGCAAAAAAATTTTAAATTATTATCCAGCAAATATTTGTTGAGTATCTATATTTTAAAAATCAACTTTTGTTGTTATAGGCTCCATGAGAAGCTTATTAAGAAGCTTAATTCTTATGAGAAGGTAAAATGCCAGTGAAGGACCTGACATCTAGAAGGCACTCTCATGAATGGTGAGAAAACTGGGGAAACTCATCATTGAGAGAACAAAAAAATTTTTTTTTGTATTTAGTAGCAACAAGTAGATATTTAATATTTGAGAAAACTGTGGTTAGAAAAAATGTTTGATTTCACTTTTTGTGGAAAAAATGAGGGTTATCATAATAACCAAACGTTAACACTCCATTGTATTGCAACACAACCTGTGATGACAGTATTTCAATACTATTACCAGATCAAAGCTTTAACATAATTAATTCATCAAAATTATACATACCACTAACACATCCCCAACAAAGATTATGTAAGTGAGCCATCTTGGCGTCAGTGATACTAAACACAGAAGCTATTTTCAACCCTTCATTAAAATTAGATCAAGAGGTACTTTCATTATGTGTTACTGTTCCTGTAAGAAATATTTACACTAGTTTAAGATTAACTTTGGTTATAAGTGACATTTTCTTTTCCTTGTCAGAAGTTAGAGCCCATCCCCCACTGGCCCCCGCAAAAGTTTTCAGTAGAAAGAAGCAATACATAAAAACAACAGGGGAAAAAAACACCTGCCCCATGTACTCTCTTCCTTGTTTATTAAAAGCCTTATTCTCCCCCTAAACTGAATCCAAAGGGACGAAGGGATAGCTTAGGGTATCACTTGAGGGTACCTGTCACTTTACCCTCAAGCTTGGTTTTCTGTTCTCAGCCCCAGCCCTGAGAGCTTTAAGTGGTTCAGCAGCGTAGACAGTCTTGAGAAGCGTCTTTAAAACAAGTAATGGGTAATTTATTTTTTCACTGGAAAAAAAAAACAATCTTGAAATGTTACTGTTTTAAAACATTAGCCTTAAAAGTTACTTCTCAGTAGAATGAAAGGTGAATCCAGGCGCAGGTAAATCTATCCTGGCCTACCGCTTCACAACTCCTGTACCACCCTGAGGCCCAAGGAAATCTCAAACCGAGGTATATTTTTAAAAAGGCAAGACATGTATGTAGCTGTTGTAGCTCTAGCCTCCTGTATCACCCAAGAGGAGATCTAAATAGTTAAGTCTCTTGTCCAAGGTCATACAGAGCCACTTAGTGACAGGCAGGGATGGTGCGCGACCTTCTAATTTTTCCACCCCCACCCCCGCCCTCCCGCACAGGCCCTCCATGGCCCCAGCTCCTAAAGGGTTCCCACGGATACGGTTCACGAGTCAGCGGCATGTCAGCGCCTTTTAAGCTCTCGCACTTTTATTTGTTCTCCCCCCCTGCTCTAAGAAGTACTAAAAGCTCTCTCCACACCTTCTCCCCAAACCCAGGCGCCCCAAACCATTTAAGCCCATCGCACCCAAAGCCAACTCACCCGCAGCCCCGGGCGCCTGAGCCCTCGGACGGACTCCGGCCCTCCCCCGCCGTCCCCGCTGTCCGCGCCGCCGCCCTGGCTGACGACGAGTCCAGAAAGTCACCGACGGTGACCGCGGACGCCAGGGGCGGGCCGCACCGCCCCGCGGAGGGGGCGCAAACTTTTCCCGGCTGGCAAGTTGTCGGGCTCCGCGCCGGCGGACCGACTTCTGCACCGGCCGCGAGAACGAGGGGGCGCCCCTTTCCCGGCCAGGGGCCAGGCCGGCCGGGAGGGGGCTGGGCGAACCGGGGCACCGTCAAGTAGGGGCCGACACTCTCAGCCCGGCCGCATTGTCTCCACGGCCTCGGACCCAGCCCCGGCGGCGGCGGAGGCACGAGCGGGTGCGGCCGGGAGTTGCTGTCCCGAAATTGTCGCCCCCTTTCGCTGCCGCCGCTCACCGCGTTCTTTGTGTGTCTAACGCCTCCGTGGGTCGCTCCGCCGCTCGCCTGACAGCTGAAGGGCTCTCCGTGCCGGGTCCCGCGTCCCCCACTGGCAGAGCCCGGCCGGCCGACCGAAGGAGGAGGGGAGAGGAGGAGCGAGCGTTGACAGATGCTGGTTCCCAGCGGCCAACGCCGAAGGAAAACCGGGACTGCCCACGGGAGCCACGGCCAGGTAGCAGCCTCCGCACCTACTCCCGCTTCGAGACCCCTTCCGCACTGGGACCCTCCCGCCCTCCTTCCTCGGCGGTCTGCACGCCCAGCTCCGGCCCGGCGCCCAGCGCCCAGCTCCGCTACCGAGCGCGTTCGGTCAAGACTCCGGGGAACCCGCTCCGCCCCCTGCCTCCAGCAGCCTCCAATGGTCTCGGCCTACTGGGGCAGTTCCGTCCAATCAAGTGCTGGAAAGCTCGGCCAGTCCCCAGGAGTGTAGCCAATAAAAGACGACTCCGGCAACACACCCCGCCCTGATTCACTGGAACAAACCGCGCAGAGCCCGAGGTGGAACCCGGATCCCGGCGCCCAGAGCAAGTCAAGTCTGCCAGTCCTGTGTCACAAAGTGAGAGTCCATCAAGGGAATTCCGGTGCTTAAATTACTGTATTATAATATAGGGTCTGGACGAAAATAGGAATACTGGATTACTTTGATAGGTGAACTGAAACTCCTCTGCGAAAGTTCAAGGGTGAAGGAAAGCTGTACACATTGTAGCAGTATTAACTGTTCGAGTTAAAGACTTTCCTTTTAGAATACTGCATTCAAGTGTCTAAGTAGGCTGTGCTCAGATTGGTACATCCGCCGTCCTGAGCATTTGTATTCTTAATACATTTGCTAGAACACCACGTATCTAAAACAGTTCTCTATTCTCTAAAACGCAGGAGGTCATGGCACTGCCAACGTTTTTTCTTTCCTACTTCATTCATGAATGAAAATATAGAAGTTTTGTATTCAAGTCGTTTTTGTTGTGAACTTTATTCCTGCAATACAGTCACACACTATTTTAAATAGAGGTTGGATGAAATAGCTGAGAGGGCCTGAGAGAGGGAGGACTTGATTACACCACTGGCTATAAAAGACTCCAGGTCTCGATCACAGCACTTTGAAAATGATAGGCACTCTATAGTTGTTTATTTGATATGAATAAGATCATTCATTTATTGTTGGTCATATAAGATTTGTAAACTTTATTGAGCTTTTTACTGAAAGTGGACTACACTTTGAAGAAAACAGTTATTGGTGAAAATTTAACATAATTTGCATATGTTAAAATGAAATCTTATTTGTATTTCAAATAACTATCACATACAGTTTATTTCTTCTGGCAATAAATGAATTTAAACATTTTGTACACATATGACAAAAATTATGTTGGTGACTATATTTTTTAAAAGATATGTATGTAGAATGAATAATAATAATAATAATAATAATAATAATAGAAAAATCAACTAAGAAAACAATGGCTTGTATTACCGCTTTGCTTTTACAATTGATACTCATTACTTCTTATCACATTAGCTTCAAGGGGTAACATGGACCCCAAGACTAAGTTTTGTCAAAGGACTCTGGATTGATCTTGAGCAAATGTCTTAATGACTAACTCTGTTATGAAAGGACAGTATTCTAGACTGGTTGCCTCATCTAGGTGCTGTGAAATGCAAACGAGATAGTGATGGCGAAGAATTAGTTTCCTGTAAGTGTTGTGCCAAGTGCACAGCAGGCTTAAATGTGTCATTCCTCTTCTTTGCCTTCCTACAGTCAAGTAACATGATACTTGCCCACTAGCGGTCTATCGATATTTCCTGAATGAATATATATATTTTTTCAGTCTGAAAGTTTGCCCTCAAACTAAATGTAAATGGAACTCCTGCTTCTCAATTTTAGAGCAAAGAAATACTTCCAGCTTTTTCTGTTTCTCTCTTTCCCTCTCTCCCTCCTTCTCTCTTTCATGCAGATGTTAGAGGAGAAATTTAATTAACATAACCTATGACTACCAACAGGCATAGTTTCACATGGAAGTTGTTAATGGTTGGGTCAGATTTATATTCTTATAATCAAGTAATTTACAGCCACTTATCAGGGATCACTTAAGGTATTTGTATTTAATTTTCAAAGAGAAATAGCAAGTGTGTATTTTTAAAGATACTTCCATGTGTCATAATATAATTTGTTTACTTTGTTCCGAAATATGCAGTCTAGTACAGAAGTTTAATTATTACTTCAAACAAATGTGCATATGGTAACACTAGAATGTGAAATTTGCTAAATTTAATTGAACCAGCAGTTGTTATTTTCAACTAATTAACTACACAGATTTTCTTTTCTGAGTGAAAATTGTGGAAGAATTGATTTTTATGAATCTAATGTGTATGACTTATTAAATATATTTAAGTCAAAACCAGTATTTGGTTCATTGGCATGCCCACACCCATTTATTTCAGGGAATGAATGTTTTATCATTTGTCTGGATAATATAGGTGACTCCACTGTGATGATGTGTCATTCACTAAGTGATATTTTCAAAGTTTCTCATCGATGATTTCTTCATTAGTTGTACATTATCAAAAAGCTCTCTTCGAGAGAAGTATCAGTTTTAACAGATTTAAATGTTTACTAGAGAAACTGTGACTTGGGGGTAGTTTTAGCATATGGGAACATAATTGTTTGATTCACAGACATAAGTCCTTTATAAGTTGAATCATGTGATCTGACTAATGACAATATTGTTTTCTCTGAATTTTTACATTTAAACTACTGTCATGAGATTTCTTCATCAATGAATATAGCAACTGGATTCACAATATAGATTCTGATCATTGATATGCCTCTGAATTTTTGTGTGTCTTGGACAAATCAAACTTCCCATGTGACTTCTCTCCAATTTACTGAATCAAAGTCACTCATTCGAAAATGATGGTATTTGGAATACTGAAATGATATCCATTAGAGAGAATAGAAAAATAAGTCCCTCATTTTCTTTTCTATTTCTGAAGTGGATGAGGGAAACTTTTTTTCGTGAATCACAATATCAGATTTTTTTAACTCTCCTTTTATAAAACTTGTATTTTTTGTTTTTTTTAATCTGACCATGGAGTTTCCTCACTGTGGTGTATTTGTGGCAAGAGTCAAATCCATGTGAAAGAACAGAAAGAAAAGAACAAAAAACATTGATGAGGGGCACACTGGACTTCCCTTCTCGTTTTATCTTGGGTCATAGTCCCAAGGAAAATTATCTTTAGAGATCAGTATTAGGAGAAATAAAGTCTCTCCTGAATGGGCATCTTTTTAATGTCCCCTTTTTATTTCCACTATTAGGCACTTCTGAACTAAATTTATAGTTCAGTTAAGGAAGATATAGTGGACTGCCTCATTGTGACTTTTTAATAAAGATATTTACCTTGTCTTGGTTTATTATTTTATATACCACTTGTGTTTATATGTGTGCATTTTATTTAAGCTGTAACTAAAATACTTTCTGAAATAAGGTGAAGTATAAATGGAGGAATAATGTATTTTGAGCCACACATAAATCCTGGTTATAATGAACTGAGCATAACTCAAGTAGAATGTGTAGCGAGGACAACAGGAAGATTACTATGGTTTTTCTTCACAGAGGAAGAGGAATCTGATTTGTCAGGTATCTTCAAACTTTTTTCAAAGAGGCAGAAAAATATAGAGGTACAAGATGGGGAAAATTTATTACATTTATATTTTTAAAGTTAAAGTTATGGGAAATATAACTGAATGTTGTTGTCTGAAAAATCAGGAGTCTCACTCAAAAATATAATATTTGATTTAAATTTAACCTGAAATACGTATTATAAATTATGCTTAAAGCATGGTCACTTCCCATGTTATCCACCAGTAGCCTTTATAGTTAAGACAATAACCCTTAGAATATGTTTCAAAGGCAATCAATCTTTTCAGTAGGATTACTACTCATCTATTTCCTTCAATTTTAGTAGCCTCTTTTAGAAAATAAACAATGTGTTCCCTGTTTTCAAATAATATTCTGCAATGATTTATTTTTAAGTCTTTTTTTGCATAAATTTATTCTCTTAGAACTTCATCTTATTTTATTCTGTTGTGAGATACATTTTAATTAACTACAGCTAACAGTTTAAAAACCATTCATCCTTTTAAAATACAGCCATGAACACGAAGTAGGTGGCAGCGTGTCCTTTCCTGGCCGGCAGGGCAGCATGAAGCAGGTGCCCAGGGAAGTTAGGAGGGTTTCTGCTCTTGAGTATCAAAAATTCAATGTAACCTGACTTAAATATAAAAAAAATTATTAGCTCACATAATTAGTAGTTCGGTTACAACTTTGACAAAGTAAAAGTAAATGTAAAAAACAACAATAACAACAACAAAGAGTGGAAGGTGAGAGAAGGGAGTGAAAGTAGAAGATGAGGCAGTGAGAGCCTTATTCCACCTGGAGGGGCATCGAGAAACCGACTCCCATGTATTGGATGAGAAACAGAAGTGAAAGCAGATGTTTCTACATTACAACCAACCTAACTTAAAAAATAATAATATAATTATCAAAATTGCAGAGGATTGAGAAAAGAACTACGGGAAAGGAACTAAAACCTCATTTTCCATATCTAAGGGTCAAGCACATAGAGATAGGTAGATAAGGAGAAATTTATAAAAGTTAGTTATTTTATTATTTCTATTTCATATTTTTTCCAATAAAACTAAATAAATGATCTGGTTTTCTAAAAGCAGACATGGTTGAAAGACTTTTCCTTTGGGATAGGGGCTGGTGTTCTGATTGGGTGTAAAAAGGATTGTAGTCATTTCAAACCAAGTGTGGATATTGTTTTGATGAAATTTTTCAATAACACAAAAACAGTCTTAGCATGAAATCTGTTAAAAATATAAATGTTGGGTGTCAAATATGTTGGGAAACCACAACTGTAATTTTTAGATAAAGTAAAAGGAGGTTTTGGACTTCAGTGTGCTGAAATGCAAGCATTAGTCAGGAATATGTAGATAGTGGTTTTAAGAAAGCCACCAAATATAATGAAATGTATAGTTCAATCATTTCATTTCCTTCACAAACAATTCATAATGTAGTAGATTACTTTTTTGTGCTTGAGAACAACTGTGCCTTTGGATCCCACAGATTCTAGTACATATTGGGTACTGAGAGGGTGTGTTGTTAAATGCCTGTTTTTGATGAAGTAATTGTTTCATTTGAAACCCTTTGACTCAGCACACAGGAAAATTCAATAGAAAATGTATTCAATTGTAAGCTTTATAGCTTGAGAAATGAATGAAATTTATGGAAAGAAGATTCTGTGGAAAGTTAAAGAAGAAATTAGAAATCTGGAACGTAAAATATTTGAGTAATTAACATTTTTGAGCTTTG